GGAAGGGACATGCTCTGCACGCTTACCTGGACCAACCCCGACGCTGCGGCCCGAGGGAGATGCGGCCCTGCAGGGAGGGGCCTCTCCCCGCTGGCCCCAGCTGCCCTGTGGCACATCCAGTCCAGGGACCGGCTCCTCCAGGGCAACAAACCCACCCCAGGCTTCGTCTTGGAGCTGTGGAGACACAAAACACCATTGTCACTTTGTCTTGGGCTCAAGGCCTCCCGGCAGGCCCTCCCCATCCACACAGAGGTTTTCAAAATTTCATCTATTCAGAAGGTAACTGTCGCCATTCAGCCCCCACCCTCACACCGACTTTTCATGCCTCCGGGATTCCGTTCTGGTCCACTGCACCCCAAGCCCCCGGGGGCGGCGGTCGTTGTCCGCACTAATTATCCCACAAAGACACAGGGCTTGTTCTCCAGGTCAGACAAAGGGCCACGCTCGCCCGAGACAGCCGCGGCGACAGGTTTGCAGATCACTCTACCTGCACCCTACACACCTGCGGCTCCCACGGGACACACCGGCCGACCCCCTCCATCCCAGCAAGCGCCGGGAAGCAGAAAAGGAAAGAGCCAGACCCTAAACCGAAGGGTGTCTGTGGTGCACTGTACTCTCTCCTGCCCTGGGGAAGATTTGGGAAGCGTAAAAGAGCTGACAGAAGGAAAGCAAAGTGTCCATCTGGGTCTCCAGCTCGCATGTCTTTTAGGTGACCATAAAACCGAGGAAGATTCTAAAGCAGTCGGTGCCGCGTGGCCAGCTCGGCGGTGGCCTGTCCGCAGTGCAGACACCTGCAACCAAACGCTTGCTTCCAGCCCTCGTGACTTCTTGTGGATCACACCTAAGGTGGAGTTTCAAGATTGGACGGTGTGGGCCTGTCTACCGCACAGGGCTCAGGACGCAGGTGGCAGGCAAAGCCCCACCCGGAAGCCCGAGGCCACTCCAGAGGGCAGAGGGCAATTTCCCAGCTGCTGGGCAGGCTGCAGACTCAGACCATGGGCCACCCACTGTGCTTGGGGACGGTGGCCCTTGGTGTCCAGTGCTTCTACCAGAGGCTTTAAGAGCAACACCCACGAGGATGAAACACAGCAGGAAAATCCCTATGCTTTGGCAGGGTGGGGAGCGTACTGAAAACAAATACGGGCCGGGCGCGGTGGCTCACGCCTGTAATCCTGGCTCTCTGGGAGGCCGAGGCGGGAGGATCGCTCGAGGTCAGGAGTTCGAAACCAGCCTGAGCAAGAGAACGAGACCCCCGTCTCTACTATAAATAGAAAGAAATTAATTGGCCAACTAATATATATAGAGAAAAAAATGAGCCGGGCATGGTGGCACGTGCCTGTAGTCCCAGCTACTTGGGAGGCTGAGGCAGGAGCATGGCTTGAGCCCAGGAGTCTGAGGTTGCTGTGAGCTAGGCTGACGCCATGGCACTCTAGTCCAGGCAACAGAGTGAGACTCTGACTCAAAAAAAAAACAAAAAAAAAAGAAATGAAAAGAAAACAAATACGGACTCCCCCCTCCCCCCAGGCATTTGACTACACCCACTGCAAACACCCAGCAGTGGCTGTACAACCACCCACAGGAGAAACTAAATTTGTAAGAAATGAGGCCCTGAGCATGTGAGGAGACCCCAGGAGACGAGGCTGAGCAGTGGAGACGCCCCCCGAGAGTCCCCCTGGGGTCAGGGTGGGCCAGAGGGAGGGCACCTGGGAGCTTGTCTGCCTGTCTGGACTCCAGGAAGAAGAGGGAAGCCACTCATGAACATGGGTTTGCACATCACGTGGATTTGGAATTTTATGTAGTGACTTACACACGTGGTCCAGGAAGTTAGTTCCAGCTCTAGCTGGCTGGCAGAAACAAAGCACAATTAGTCTTTAACCACTCTGTAGGGACACTCAGGCCCTTGGGCCCTGGAGGGAAAAAACTCTGCTAAAATGAGCTCACAAGGAAAAATTACAAAACACATAAGGAAGCAGCCATCAGCAGTAATCCCACAGAGATTGATCAAAGCTCTAAGAATATGGGATAGCAGGCCAGGCGTGGTGGTTCACGCCTGTCATCCTAGCACTCTGGGAGGCCAAGGCGGGCAGATTGTTCAAGGTCAGGAGTTTGAAACCAGCCTGAGCAAGAGCGAGACACCGTCTCTGGTATAAATAGAAAGAAATTAATTGACCAACTAATATATAGAGAAAAAATCAGCCGGCCACGGTGGCGCATGCCTGTAGTCCCAGCTACTCGGGAGGCTGAGGCAGCAGGATTGCTTGGGCTCAGGAGTGTGAGGTTGCTGTGAGCTAGGCTGACGCCACGCACTCACTCTAGCCTGGGCAACAAAGCGAGACTCTGGCTCAAAACAAACAAACAAAGAAAAAAGAATATGGGATAGCAGGACATCAAGCTGGGAATGAACACAGAAGCAAATGTGTAAAACTATGAATGAAATAGAAACATCAAAACGAAGAGAAGACACAGGGTAAAGTAGATTTGACAAGAACCAAAGAGAACCTTACAAATAATCATTGGAATAAAATAAAAAAGAACCAGTTTGTCAGGTCTTCGCAAAGATAAACACAGAATTAACATGATCCAGCAGTTCTCGTAGGCAGACCCCCCCCCCCCCGTCTATTTAAAACCAGGAGCTCAAATAGACACTTGTGCGAATGTGCAGAGAAGTCCTGTTCATGGTAGCCCAGAGGTGCAGGCGGCCCAGTGTACATGGTGTGCTCCACCCGTCCGAGATTCATCCATGAAAAGAGTGAGGCTCTGACACACGCTTCAACATGGGTGAACCCTGCAAACATCACGCTAAGTGAAAGAAGGCAGTCACGAAAGATCACATGCTACATGGTTGCATTTGTGTGAAGTGTCCGGAACAGGCAAACCCACAGGGACAGGAAGTTAAGGAGTGAGTTAGGTGGGCCTGGGGGAGGCAGGTGAGAGGGACGATTACTTTCTGGGTCCAGGTTGTCTCCTGGGGTGACGAAATGTTTGGAACCAGACGAGGTGGTGGCTGTACAATATTGTGAATGTACTAAATGCTACTGAATTGCCCATTTTTAAATGGTCGATTTTATATTTTGTGCATTTCACCCCAATAAAAAGTAGACTTAAGAGACCCTTGATGACTCTGTCTTGGAACAGACCTACTTGGGCACGGCCCCCACCTGCCGGGGTGCACCCCGTCCCTGGGGTTCTGCACACGCGTTTCTGGCCCCGCCCCTGATGCCGTGCAGACTTCCGTCTCCTCAGGCCCGTCTTGGCCCGTTCCCCCCAGTCCAGGCCCCCCGTGGCAGCTGTGCCTCTGCCCCTCGGTGCCAGCACGGACCGCACACGCCACGGGTGTACCGCACACGCCACGGGGCACCCAGCCCCAGGGCCCAGCCCGTCACCCTGGGAGAGCCCAGTTCTGGCCCTGCCCACCTCCCTCCAGCTCCTGTCCACGGCTTGGTGGTCTCAACGGACTTGTCCAAGACCCTTAGGCCTCCCCTCTCCCCCCACTCCTCCCTCACCCTGACATGTCTTCACTCACCCCTCCCGGCTGTGAACTCCCTGCCCCCATCGGCTCCGCCCACAGTAGCTGAGCACCGGCCCCTTGAGGGCAGCCCCTGCCCCACCATGGCTGCCCCATTATGACTTTCCGATGCCTTCCAGGGGGTGCTCCACCTGGGGGTGCTGATCAGGGAGCACCACCGATCTGGCTTCCAACCCACTTGCTCCTGCAACCTTTCACACACCTCTCCTTCCTCCTCCTCCTCCTCCTCCCCTCCCTCCACCTTCTCCTCCTCCTTCCTCCCTCCTCTCCTCCCTTCCCTCCTCCCTCCTCCTCTATACTCCTCCCCCCTTTCCATACTCCTCCCCACACTCCTCCCTCCTCCTCCTCCTCCATACTCCTCTCTCCTCTTCCCTCCTTCCCTCCTCCCTCCCCATCCTCCTCCCTCTTTCCTCCTATCCTCCTCCCTGCTCCACACTCCTTCTTCTTCCTTCTACTCTCCTCCCTCCTCCCTCCACTGTCCTCCCCATTCTCCTCCCTTGTCTGTCCTGTATCTTCCTCCCTCCTGTCTCCTTCCCTCCTCCCCCTTGTCCTCCTCCCATCAGCACCCACCACGCTGTCCCCTCACCCATTGAGAGGAAAAGCCTCAGCCCTCCCAGCCCCCTCGGTCCCATTTCTTACCCCTCACGTTGCAAAGTCCCCCAGAGAGTTCTCCGAAATCACGGTCCCCATCTCCCTTCTCTGGGTTCCCTTCAGCATTCTCGACACACGCGACTATTCAACCCATCGGGGTTCTCGGCGCCCCCACTTGCACAAGGCTGTCAGGCAGGGCCCCTCCCCAGCACCCCAGGACCCAGCAGGACCCTCCTCCTCTGGGCTCCCACCGGCCCAGGCACCCACGACCCCACACGCACACCTCCGACCACCTGTGCCCAGTGCCCCCACCTACCTGTCACCCCTATCTCGCCGGGCCCGGCACCCCACCTCCCTTCGACGGCGCCGCCCCTGTGCGCCAGGCTGAGTCACCTCCCGCCACCTCCGGTCGGTCAGCGCCTTCCTGCACCCTGGGCCAGGCTGGGCCTCAGCTGGGGTCCCCGCAGAGACACCCCAGCCCGCTGAGCTCCTGCCCTGGGGGCCTCGCAGGCGGCCAAGCCTGGACGCCGGGCGGTACGGCACTCAGCTGCTTGCGTGGCGTGTGAGACGTGAGCCGAGATGACGTGGACAGTGTGGGGCTGTGACCCCCCAGCACACGGACTCACCCAGACACGCTCGGTCAGTGGCAAACGGATCACACACACATGCTTCCAGAACCCCACAGCAAAACCAGAAACAAAGATGTCAAAACACGCCCCGTGTTGGTTAGAAACACATCGTATTGGACTAAAGAGACATCATAATGAAAACCAAAAAATGTTTGAGAGGCCGGGCACGGTGACTCACTCCTGTGATCCTAGCACTCAGGGAGGCCGAGGCGGGCGGATTGCTCGAGGTCGGGAGTTCGAAACCAGCCTGAGCAAGAGCGAGACCCCCGTCTCTACTAAAAATAGAAAGAAATTAATTGGCCACCTAAAAATACATAGAAAAATGAGCCGGGCATGGTGGCCCATGACTGTAGTCCCAGCTACTAGGGAGGCTGAGGCAGGAGGATTGCTTGAGCCCAGGAGATTGAGGTTGCTGTGAGCGAGGCTGACGCCATGGCACTCTAGCCCGGGCAAACAAACAAAAATGTTGGAGAAGAAAAGGACGATGAAATCCCACAAAGCGTACGGGAGGGACACTCACACGGTCAGAGGCACTGGGCAGCTGGATGGCGCCCACCGCGGCCGGCAGCACCTGGCCGGGGAGCCTGGACACAGAACCACGGCGGGAACCCAAGGAAGCCAAGGCGTCTCGGAGACATCGGTGAGACGGAAGACCACGGGGCGCCGTGCCCAGCGACGCAAACGGAGAGGTGCGGACGGCAGGATCTGCAGACACCCCAGCGGGAGGAGCTGACCGAGTGCCGGCAAACGCCTCCCTTCCCCCTGCTGTGCCGGCTCACCCAGCACCGGTGAAGCCCCTGAAAGAAACGAGGCGAGGCTCATGCACGCACAGGCCCTACCTGTTCAGGAAACAGACTTCAGCAGGGTTTGCCCGCCCAGGTGGCACCTGAGAGCTTCGAACCTGGCAGACCCCGGCGGCCGGCCGGCCCCAGCCGACACCAGCCCGCCCTCTCCTGGGCACCTGCGCCGGACGCCTCCCGCAACAGGCCTGGGCACTGCCTTCCCTTGCCAGGCGGCGGGAGCACAGGCTGTGTCCCTGCACATGCTCCCGGGCCCCACGCCTGGCAACTCTGTGGTGAGGGGTCCCTGGGGACAGAAGCCAGAGTGACTTGGAGGGAGCAAAGTGCAGGGCGGAGCTGCCGGGCGTCAGGCGGTGCCTTTACCACCCCAGGAGGCCGAGAGGCACGGCTGCCCTCCAGGCACAGGCCACGGCTGGGCCCTGCGTGGCTGAGGGAGGTCACTGCGGCCTCCTCACCAGGGTGGCCTCCTGCCCCGGTGGCCGTCTGCCCTCGCTGGGAGGGGGTGCACTGGCAGGCAGCCGGTCCCCACAGCCTGCCAGGTCCTGCCCTGGGCATGGAAGGACAACGCCTCTCACGCCACCCAGAGGGACCACCGGGCGGAGGACGGGGACAGGCAGGAGAGCAACACAGACACAGGGAGAAGAGCCGGCACAGGCTGTGAGGCGTCCGAGCCGGGCTGGGCGTCACCGTCACCGTGCTGCTCAGAAGCCACGTGGGGGCTGCAGGCCCTTCCCTTCTTCCTCTCTGAGCCTGCAGGGGGGCGGGGGTCCTGGCTGAGGCCAACGTCTCCTGCACACGCACCACCCTGGGCACCTGCAGAGCATGTGGACAGGACCCACGCAGGGTCGCTCGCCGACGCAGCTCCCCAGGGACTGCAGGAACGGGGGTGGGGTCCTGGCCCTCGGGGACAAGACAGGCCCCTGGGAGGGGGCAGGTGCAGGGGCTGCAGTGGATCCCTCGACGCCTGGGGACTCCTCTGGACCCCAGGGGTGGGTCCTGCAGCATCCAGGGCTCGGGACGGCCCCTTCCCTGACCTGTGCCCACACTGGCCAGGGCTCGGGAAGGCCCCTTCCCTGACCTGCGGCCACCAGAGGGGAGAGGGGCTGAGCCCACCCCATGGTGCTTCCACCTGCTGCTCTGGGGATCCAGCCTCACCTGTCACCTTGGGCTGCAGAGTGGGCCAGGGCCATGCTAACCCAGCCCCCCACCCCTCGCTGGCCTGAGCACCCCCGGCCCCCCCCTCACCGGGAAAACCCTGCAGAGCGGCCAGTGCGACATCTGAACACGGAAACTTCTCCCCACCGATGAGAAGCCCTCGGGAGTGAGACCCGAAGGAAATTTCCAAATAGAAGCCGAATCTCTTTGTCAGGAAGCATTTGGGGCTGCGGGCTCGGCCTGGAGCAGCAGCTGGGACTTACCCAGGCCGGGTCACGGTGCCGCCCCTGCGGGCAAGGCAGGGCGGGAGGTTGGGACACACCCTGCAGCGAAGTCTTCCAGTCGCCGGCTCCTGCGCGGCACAGAGTGGAAGCCAGCACTGTCCGGAGCCCCGCAGCCCACCTGAGAGCCCCGCAGCCCACCTGAGGGACCCGCAGCCCACCTGAGGGCCCAGCAGGACACCTGAGGGCCCCGCAGCCCACCTGAGGGCCCAGCAGCCCACCTGAGGGCCCAGCAGCCCACCTGAGGGCCCCGCAGCCCACCTGAGGGCCCCGCAGCCCACCTGAGGGCCCAGCAGGACACCAGCAGGTGCGCTCTGCAGGTGACAAGCAGGGCTCATCCCAGAGAGCCAGGCGGACGTGACGACAACAGGGACCCGCCAGTGTGGCGCCGCAGACGCAGAGCCAGCGTTTCATGGACTTCAGTTCCATTTATGGGAAATAACTCAGCAAACTAGAAACAGAAGGGGCCGTGCTTCACTGGACAAAAGGCGTGCACGAAGCAGCCGTCGGCAAGCCGAGCACTTGATGCCGTGTGCTCCTGTGAACAGGCTGCGCGGCTGGGAGCCGGAACGTTCCGGGTGTTGAGGAAAACATCACAGGCATCAGGCTGGGAATGGGGACAAGAAACCTCACCGCTCACTGACAACATGGTCAATGCTGTGCAAAGCCATAAAGAATTTGGCCGGTTGCTATATGAAGCCATTAAAAAAAAAAAAAGGAAGTATAAAAATTTAAACATAAAAATAAAAAAAAATAAAATAAATAAATAAAAAGTAAAAAAAAGAATTTGGCTGGGTGTGATGGCTCCCGCCTGTAATCCTTGCACACTGGGAGGCTGTGGCGGGAGGATCACTTGAGGCCAGGAGCTCAAGACCAGCCTGGGCAACACAGTGAGACGCTGTCTCTAAAAAAAAAATAGAAAAATTACCTGGGCGTGGTGGTGCACCGGGAGGCTGAGGCAGGAGGATCACTTGAGCCAGGAGTCGAGGCTGCTGTGAGCTGTGATGACACCACTGCACTCCAGCCTGGACAACAGAGCTGGAGCCTGTCTCAAAAAAAAAAGAGAGAAGTTATTTATTTATTTATTTTTATTGTTGTCTTGCTCTTTTTATTTTTTTATTTATTTATTTTTTATTTTGGCATATTATGGGGGTACAGATTTAAGGTTTCAATAAATGCCCTTTGAGAGAAGTTATTTAAAAAGTCAGTTGTTTTCCTATACTGACAAACACAAATGATCATTTAAAAAAAAGCCACAATAGCTTACAAAAATGTCAAATTCCTTGGGATAAATCTAACAAAAGAAGTTCATAGAAAAAAAAATATAAGACATTATGTATTTGATTTTATTTTGTTTTAGAGAAGGGCACAGGGACAATGGCTCAGATCACTGGGAATCCGGGGAACCAACAGGGCAGGTGCCGGGAGTGCGGGCTGCCGGGGCCCGGGCGCTGCCAGCCACACGGGCACCCAGGCTGGGGACGTGCAGAGCAGCCCTGCCCACAGGGGCCCCAGCCTGGGGACGCCCGATGTGCGTTCTAGGAGGACGGCACCTGTGTCAGCCACGCAGGGCGGGGCCCCGGGCGGGAAGGACACATGACCCTCGGTCCAACCTCAGAGCCGACTCCAGACCAGGCTCGGAGGTGTGCCTGGGTGGCTGGCCGGGCAGGGACCCTGGGGACAGGACGGGGGCAGGGTCGGGGATGTGGACACGGACACAGACAGGACAGAGACGGGGACCAGGATGGGGACAGGTGGGCAGAGCATGAGGGCACCGTCTGAACCTCCCCAAGCGGGGCGGCTCCACGGCGTCACCCGCCATTCTTCCCGCAGCCGCGCCTGTTTGTTTTGCGTCTGTCCTACGTGTGGGTTTCGCCTCACAATAAATAAAACGTTTTAAGGCGCAGTTCCAGATGTGGGAGACGGGAGAGCTCTGGAGAGGGAGCACGGCCGCGGCTGCACAGCACGAAGGTGCTAATGCCCCGAGCGTGCGCTGAAAAACGGTTACCATGGTAAATCTCATGTTATATATATTTTACCATAAGTTTTTTAAAAGCAGGGCAGCCCTATCATTATTATTTTTTTAACAGTTCTCCTGAATTGGGATCTCCTTTTGCAGGTGTGGAGCTTCCCATGCCGCAGGTCCAGTGTCTGTGGTCTTTGCCCCACACCCCTCCCCCTCAAGTCGGCAGGTTCTGCCCTGGAGGGGGAGGGGCTGCCCCTGCCACCTCCCACCCCTGGGCCACTCCCGCTTCCTCAGGGGCCTCCCTACAGCCATAGGCCAGGCCCCAGGAGAGTCCTGCAGGAACAAGGCAGGCCAGGCCGCTCCTCCGGTAACTGCACTGTGGCCTCCGGCCCTTTGGAGTCAAAGCCAAAGCCCACCACACCCTTCTGGGCTTCACCCTCTGTCACTCGGACCCCAGCCTCACCGGCCTTCGAGGGCTTCCCTGCCTGGCTGCCTCTGCCTTGACCTGCACCTGCCCCCCAGTGGCTCCAGGCGCTCCCTCCTCTCCGGACATTTCCCTGTGGGCGCGATCATTACTGTCCTTGACGCTGTGGGCCCCGGAGCAGCGGCCACCTTGGTCTCATCCATGGCTGTGGCCATGAGTGACGGGTGTCCTGCAGTGGCCGCCCCAGTGGTTCCAGGGCCAGTCCTGCACTAGCACACGGGGGTCACCAGCCCACGTGACTGTGGGGACCCCCTGGAAAGCCCCCCACCACCATCTTTCAGGCTAGAGCTGGAAGGGGGACCTGCAGCAGGTGTGGCGGGGGCAAGGCTCTGCCATGCCAGGCCCCGCCACAGCTGCCACCATGGCCACCGCCACCGCCACGCTGACGCACATCTCAAACAATCGCTGGCTTCCTGTTCGTATGACATAAGAAAAACAGGATGCTGAGAGGCGTTTGTCTGAACGAATGAGATAAGCATGTTCTGTGATATTCTGCAAAGCCCAGGGGCTCAGCAGCAGGAGGGTAGGGAAGCCTGGAAGGGGCCATGGGAGGCAGCCTGCCCAGCAGGCAGCACCCAAATGCCCTGCTCAGGGCACCGTGCTGGAGTGCTGGGACCAGAAGGGCAGGTGGGCTCAGGGCTGATGCGGAGGGACCTCCCAGACCTGCCCTCCTGGCCTGGAAGCCACCATAAGTCACCTGCGTCCGCTCCCTCCACGTGTACTTCCCTATCCTGGGCTTATTTTGTGCCACAGGGTGTTGACAATTACGCCCTACAATACTCCGCCCTGGCCTCTGGCCCCAAGCCCTCCCACTCCGGGCCTGGGGCTGGGCCAGGCCCAAGTTCACAGCTAACACTACAACAAAGCGCACAAGAATCATCCTGCCGGACACCTGCTAGGCGGAGGCTTGCAGGTCCACGGTCTGGCGAAGCAATGACCAAGAATGGCCTCTGCAGCGGGAGCCCAGACCCTTGAACCCGGCGCTCCTGTCTCGAGGATCTCGTGGGTGGGGCCGTGGGGGGGGCAGCTCGTGTGTCTGTCAGCCATTAAAAGAGGAACCCAAGGGCTGGGCGGCAGCTGATCACCACGCCTGTCACCTACACGCTGGGAGGCCGAGGCAGGCGGATCGCATTGAGGTCAGGATTCGAAAACAGCCCTGAGCAAAGAACAGAACCGCCCGCTCTACTATAAATAGAAAGAAATTAAATTGGTCAACCTAATAACTTGATACAGAAAATGGAGAAAAATGAGCCCAGGTCATTGGTGAGGTCGCAATAAGCCTGTAGTCCCAGCTACTTGGAAGGCTGAGGCAGGAGGATTGCTTGAGCCCAGGAGTTTGAGGTTGCTGTGAGCTAGGTTGATGCCATGGCACTCACTCTAGCCTGGGCAACAACAACAACAAAAAAAAGAGGAACCCAAGCTCAGGAGGGAAAGTCTCACGGTGCCCAGATGTGAAACCAGGCCCATGGAGCTGCCCATGGAGACCCAGCCTGAAGCAGGGCCCACAGGTGCATTCTGAGAGCCACAAGCACTACCCTCCAACCACGTGCCAGGAGGACACCTCTGCATCGAGGTGTGTCCTGGCAGCCTTCTGGGCTTCCCAGGGCCCCCTCCAGCCCAGCCCCTCTCTGGTCTCAGATGCCTGTGCTGGGCCCCAGGGCTGGGCTTGGCCCTTCCCGTGCCCAGGTGGGTGGCAGTGCTGGACACAGCAGGACAGAAAGAGCAGAGAGACAGGCATCCCTGTGACCCCCCAAGCCCAGTGGGCAGCATCCATCCATCCACACTGGCTCTGCCCTATAGGACCTGGCACAGCCTCAGGCAGCGGGAGCCCCTGCTGTCTCCACCAGCGCACAGCATTGCCACTTGTAGGTCACTGGGCCTCCGTTCAATCGCACATCCACGACTTGCTTTGTCCCGGAAGCTGAGGGCCTGGGAGACAGCCTGTCTGCTCCGGGCACAGCCTGCTCCCGGGACCCAGACGCCCACACTGCCTCTGCCAGCAGTCTGCATGAGGTGGGGACACCCACCACTACCTGCCCTGTACTGTCTGGGGAGGTGGAGGAGGAGGAGGGCAGCAGGTGCCAGGAGGAAGAGGCAAACTGCACACCCGGAGAGGCCAGGAGAGGCGCTGGAAAGCTCAGGCAGCCCAGGATTGAGCTGGGTGGACGCACACAGAAGTAACCACATCTCATTTGCAACTCCAGGTTAGAAAACCTGCTGGTAGAAAAGAGCCTACTTACAACAAGAGTTTTAAAGATGAAATATCTATTTTTAAAAAGTAACCCAAAACAGTGCAAAAGCTATGCAATTAGAACGAGCAAGGAGGGCGCGCTGCCCGAGTCACAGATGAGAAAACCCAGTCCAAGCCAGGGCCGAACCCAGGTCTTGTCCCAGCGGGTTCCACTGTACCACTATCCATTTCTATTTGTATTTTAATTGCTTTTTTTTTTTTGCCATCTATATAAAGGCAATTTATGCATGCAGTAGAATATTTGGAAAACTAAATAAATTTGCAAGTTCTGAAAATTCAATGCAAAAGAATGTTATTAAAAGTCACAGTGGCCTCAGGACCAGGTCCTGGGCGGTCCTCCTTCTCCCTGCGGTGGCCCGAGGGTCTGGCCGCGCCCCCAGCAGCACGTGCACCCGCCGCGGCAGGACGGGGCGCCCACGGGCACCGGTGAAGCCCGCGAGGGCGGGTCGCCCGCCGTCCAACCCCGGCCCAGGCCCGCACCGGCCCCGCCCCAGCCCTGGGACCGATCCAGTCCCGTCCGGAACGGAAGGTTCTGGGCCGAAAGGCTCTGCTTCCCAGAGCAGCAAAGATCATTGCCCTGTACAGTCGGCTCCCCCGCCCCAGCACCACGAACGATAATGAATGAATGAACTAACGAACCGTCCCCCGCCCCCTCCCCGTGGGGCCAGCGCTCCCACACCTGCCCTGCTCCGCTGTTCCCACCCGGGTCCGGCGCCTCTCCGCCCCTCCCCCGCGCTCCCAGACACCGGGACCCTTCGGCCGCGTCTGCCCGTCCTGGCGCAGCACGTGACCCCCGCCTGCTCCCGCGAGGCGTCCCCCTGGGTGGCCCGTCTGTCGCTCTGGGAAGGGCCCTCCTGGGTTCAGAGCGCCCGGGGCGGAACCCCCAGGTCTCAGCCCCACCCCTCCAGGTGAGGGTCTCCGGCTCGCGCCCACCGGTGTCTGACCGGG